TTCCCCTCACAGGGTAGTGCATTAGCCTTAGCCCATGCTCATCTGCTCCATCTAAGTAGGCTCTCACAGAGCCAGCCACAGGCAGGAGGTGTGGCTAGGGGCCATGCCACAGCTGCCAGCGGAAATTGGGCAGTAGAGGACGGAGGGGACTCTGTTATAAAAGCAAAAACAAGCATTCCCTTCCAATGCACCCAGTCACACACACACACACACACACACACACACACGCAGATAGCTATCTGCCCTGGGGAGTGGGCACAGTGCTAGAAAGGGGTGGGCTGGGTTTATAGGGACGCAGTCACAGCGCTGGTGGACTAGCAGGTGAATACTGTGTGTGGCAGGGTAGGCAGAAAGAAATGAGCCCAGGGCTTCAGCTGCAGCTATTTGGACTCCCCACCGCCATCCCCCGTGTGTATGCACATTATGGTTGTGCAAACCTTTGGTCCCTGATTCGATTTGGTGGAGATTTGGCCCAATTCAGTGGCTGAATCTCTGAATCAAATAAGGACACCCTTGAATCTCTCTGGATTTAATCAAAACCCTCTGAATTGACTTGAAGAGATTCAAAAGCATACGGACATAGACACAGCTTTAATTTTTTTTGTACATACCTCAAGGTATCAGGTGGTTCATGAATGCTGAGACAGTGGGATGGATGGAGCATCCCACAGGCATGCTGGGGAACACTCCCCACCATGCTCTTGGTAGCAGACCCAGAAGTGGACCAGAAGCGCTTCTGGGTCTGCCAGGGAGCACGTGGGGGCCCCCCATTCCCCACCAGCTCAGCAACTGGTATCTCCTGGGTCTGGGGGGGCACACACAGTCTTCCCATAGCCGATCACCGAGCCAGGGGGGCACAGGAGGGCCCCCCTGCGTGCTCTCTGGTGGACTAGGAAGTGGACCGGAAGTACTTCTGGTCACCACCAAGCCTGTGCTTCTGTGGGATGCTCCATCTGCCCCAGCACTGCAGCATTCACAAGCCATGCCTGGTACCTTGAGGTATGTAGAAAAAGCATTTAAAGCCGTGTCTATGGCTGAATTGCTGATTCTCCAAATCAGCATTGAATCTTCAGATTCAGATTCAGATGAATCAAATCAGGGACAGTGATCTGAATCAATGAATCAAATCACTGTCCCTGATTCAGGCCAAATCCAAATTGAATACAGCCTGTTTTGCACACCCCTATCCCTGCCTCTCCCATGCCAGTTGGCGGGTGGAAGTGCTAGGGGCCGTGTCCGGCTACACCCCACATGCAGTGCCCTGGGATAGATGTGTGAACGTGCATTCATCCAAGTGAGACTCTCTGTACAGTGCACAGTCCAAATAGCAGCAGCAGGAGAAAGAGGCACACTGAGCAGGGAGGCGCTTGCGGACCTGAAACAGATGCTGGGCATGATAATGAGTCCTCCCTCCCCTGACTCCCCTTCCCCAGAGCCATCCTCCCAGGCAATGGCAGGATTAAACAGGGTCTCAGACTCCTTCTACCTGGGTTGAGTTCTTCAGCTGCTCAGTTTAAGCACTTGGGCTGGGTGGGCTGGAGCTAATCCCATTGCTGCTGGTGCCAGTTCCACTCCCTGTCACTGGATGGTTTATTTCCCATGATATATCCAAACACTAGGAGCAGCAGCAGTAGCAGCAGCAAAGAGGAGGCAGAGGAAGTGCTTTTCTGGGAAGCTGGTGAAGTGGAAGGGGCATAGAGGAGCCAAGGACAGCACTGGGGAGAAATAGGGAGGCAGGAGGGATGAGGCTGCAGCAGGCTGGGGCTCCCTGCTCTAAAAAGTGGCAAGAGGAACCTGCAGTGGCTGCAGATGAGGCTGAGACCTCAAATCTCAAGGCAGCAGAGCTGGGGAGGGGCTGCCCAGCAGAAGCCTCTGCTCTCCCCAACCCCTCAGCCATTGCTGCTGACAGCTGGCTGCTAGCAGGGGGTGGGGCCAGGGAGAGCCCAGGCCATTCAGGAGTGGCCGCTAGGGGTTGGGTTGGGTGGTACTAGACTATTGGGGTGGCCCAGCTGCTTGGCTAGGCTTGGCATTCTCCAACAGCCTACTGGGAGGTGTGCAGGAACACAGACCTTACGATGACAGGCTGAGAGCCATGGGGCTCTTTAGCCTGGAAAAGCGCAGGCTCAGGGGTGATCTGATGGCCACCTATAAGTTTATCAGGGGTGACCACCAGGATCTGGGGGAACGTTTGTTCACCAGAGCATCCCAAGGGATGACAAGGTCGAACGGTCATAAACTACTGCGAGAGCGTTTCAGGCTGGACATAAGGAAGAATTTCTTTACTGTCCAAGCCCCCAAGGTCTGGAACAGCTTGCCATTGGAGGTGGTTCAAGCACTTACATTGAACACGTTCAAAAACAAATTGGATGCTTATCTTGCTGTGATCCTATGACCGCAGCTGACTTCCTGCCCTTTGGGTGGGGGCCTGGACTCGATGATCTTCCGAGGTCCCTTCCAGCCCTAATGTCTATGAAATCTATGAAATCTCTAAACTATTGGCCTCGACCAGTGCAGGCAGCCTGGGTACTCCTTCCCCCCAGGGTACACCTCTGTTTTGTTCACTCCTAGCTTAACTTAAGGCACTTAAAGTGTGAAACTTAGATCACTTCTGCCTTGACCCTTTTGCATGTCTGTATTTAGCCTTTGTTTCCCTACTACTTTGACACCACTATGTCAAAATCATCCTAATATCATTAGTGGTTTATAATGCCTGATCAATTGTTATAGGCTTATTAACATGCTCTCGCTCACTCATGCTGTTATATTAAATTTATGTCACCTAGCTTCTCCTTCATGAAAAGTTCTCATTCTGTTCTTATGAGGCTCATATCATTAAAGTTAATGGACTTGTTATTTACAACACGTAAAGGATTGGGGCCTTAATAATTAGTATGGGGTAATCAGTCTTCAGATAAGTTCTGTTAGAATGATCATGATTGTGTTAAATACCCACAGAAAGGATGGAAACATTTAGATTCATGGATTGTAAGGAACCTCAGAAGATCATGGGGTCCAGCCCCCTGCATCAAGCAGGAAAGATAACTGGGGGGTCAGGTGACCCCAGCAAGGTGACTGTCTAGTCTCCTCTTGGAGATTTCCAGGGTAGGTGATTGAATCATCTCTGGAGGGAGCTGGTTCACAGTCTGGACACTCTGACTGTGAAGAAGTTTTTCCTAATATTGACCCTGAATCTATCTGCCAGGAGTTTGTGGCCATTACTCCTTGTTTTCCTTTTGGGTGCCCTGGTGAACAGTTGCTCACCGAGCCCTTGATGCACTCCCCTAGTGTAATGGTAAGCTGCTACCAGGTCCCCCCTCAGCCTTCTTTTCTTCAGGCTGAAGAGTCCCAGATCCCTCAGCCTTTCCTCATATGGCTTGCCTTTTAAGACTCTGACTATACAGGTGCCTCTTCTTTGGACTCTCTCAAGCTTCTCCACATCCTTGTTAAAGTGTGGTGACCAGAACAGGACACAGTACTCCAGCTGCAGTCTCACCAGTGCTGAGTGGAGCGGAAGAATCACTCCTTGGTTTTGCTGGAGATGCATCAATTGATGCATGCCAAAGTATTATTTAGCCTACTGGCTACAGCATCGCACTGTTAGTTCATATTCATATTCTGGTCTATTAGCCCCAGGTCCCTTCATCTGTGGTGCTACTCAGTTTGGTGCAGCCAAGGCTGTAGGTGTGATGGGCGTTGTTTGTCCCCAGATGTACCATTTTACACTTCTCACTGTTGAAATTCATCAAGTTCTGATCTACCCAACTTGCTAGCCTGTCTAGGTCTGCCTGTAACTGTAGCCTATCTTCAAGCATGACCATGCTTCCCCATAACTTGGTGTCATCTGCGAAGTTGGCCAGTGAGCTCTTCACCCCCACATCCAAATCATTAATAAAGATGTTGAAAAGTACTGGACCAAGCACCAACCCCTGTGGGACACTGCTGCCCACTTCATGCCAGGATGATCCATTCACTATGACTCTCCAGGTCCTATCCTGCAGCCAGTTTCTCACCCACCTAACTGTCTCGGAGTTAAGTCCACAATTCTCCAATTTTCTCGTGAGGACATCATGGGATACTAGATCATCCAATGATTCATGCTAAATCATATGTGGAAGGAAGAAGCTCTAAACTATGATCTTACATGTAGCAAAGGAAGACATTTCATGTATTCATAGTTTCATAGTTTCTAGGGTCAGAAGGGACCTGAGAAGATCATCTAGTCTGACCCCCTGCCATGGCAGGAAAGAGTACTGGGGTCAAATGACCCCAGCAAGGTGTTCATCTAACAAGGTGTCACATTCCTTGTGACATAGATCCTACTGTATTTCTTTTTCCAAATAAAAAACCTTTTCACACTGTTTCAAGAAAGATGGTTTTTTATTACAGGAAAACAAACAAGATTGGTTTAAAAACCAGAGAAGGAAAATACTATTTTTTCAATAACTGTTTTACTAAACACAGAGATAAGGCGATCCAATTACTTACTTAAGCATTCCATTACAGTTTGTAATAAAGAAGAGATGCTCTTCTGTTGCATTCTATTGAGGCTATTTGATATTTTACTTACAGACTGCAGTATAAGCTCCATCCTGGAGAAAATTTCAGTTGAAATTATAAAACTTACTGAGGTATAATGCTATCACTTAATTGAATTTCAAAGTTAGTGTAGCCCCAGACTCTCTTACCCCACCTGAGGCAATTTGCTGCATGCCAGAGAACACATGCAGGGGTGTGCCTAGAGATAAGTAGCAGCAGCACAAATGTACCACTGCTATTTGTCTCCAGGGAAACACATGTTTCTGCTTGTGGGATCAGACCCTCATTTGTTTTTTGGGGGCCAACCTTTTTGCCAGGCATGCCACAGAATAGCCCTGCACCTCCCCTGAGTGCTACTTCAATCCCCCTTTCCTGCTTGATTTGATGCTCTGGTTTCTGTTTCCTGCTTTGTGCTCCCTGCCTGATCTGCTGCTCTGCTATTTGCTCCCCAGCCTACCTGCCACTGTGTTGCCTGTCCTCTTCTTGATCTGCCATTTGCTAAACATAGAAGCTATCCATGTCACTTGTGGCACATGGGCCACAGGCTGGCTACTCCTGCTTTAGTTTATGTAAAGTTGAACCGTTTGAACATCAGGGAATTGTGTGTTCTTCATCCTACCACTGACTCCGGAATAATGTACTATCTAGTCATTAATAATGTACTATCTGCATTATCTAGGAGATGTGGGTTTGAATCTAGAAGAGGATTTTGAATCCAGGTCACCCATATCCTGAGTGAGTTCTCCAATCAATGAACTAATTGGATAAAAGGAACGTCAGCACCACCATCAGCGATATTTTAAATGAAAGGACTGACCTCCATATTTTAAAGTAAAGCTTAAATATGTGACTCTGGACTATCTACATCCAGGGAGCCAGAGCAGAAGGAAGTTCCTAGGAACATGGGAGGGAAATTTCTCAGGGGTATTTCATGCTGCTTAGACTCTGTAGCTCCACACTCAGCATGGGGTTTTTTCTTTCTTTTTCTGTGGATCCCATTCTGAAGTACTTCATCTTTCCATACATCTTGTAGAGATTAGGCTATACTTGGGTTGGTATATAACTTTGGTGTAGCAGCATTAGGGTTAAGTAGCACCATGGGTGGACCTAGAATTTTGAAAAGCAGGGTCATGTGGTACACCATCTGATATCACACAACACGTTTCTCCAGTTAAAGAGAAACTAGAAGGTTTATTAATAAGCGGACCTGAAACAGATCCGCTACAGGCCTAACACTATATGCTTCTTCTTAAGATCAAAACAAAAGCAAATAACTTTATTGGAACATTCACTAATTCACTAAAGCATTTGGAAATATGATGCTTAATTGAAAATCTAGATCTCAGTGGCTAAAAACTGTCTTCTTGTATGAGGATTAAATTCCAGCAGTGTGCACCCTGTCTCATGCAATCCATGTGATGTGTACACACAAATCATTTTTTTCATTTCTAAAAAAAAAAATCACTATATACGCTGTAGTTAAAAATGGAACATGCAACACAACCTAGAATAGAAAATGTGTACATGAATGTGTTAGACTATTGAGTGAAATGCCATTATTGAGAAACCAAGCTCAAATATCAGCTGGTAGAATCATTCAAAATAATTTAAGATTTCATAGAAAAAATAGCAACATACACCCTAAGATGTAAACAAATATTTCATTGGATAATTCAGATTAAATAGTCACTGTCTTCCTCTGAAACCTGCTAGTAGTACAACTGCCCTTGTTTCAGAGGAGAATAACAAATATTTATTTCTGCTTAGAGATCAGATTTTTGGAGGCATGTAGGCTCCCTCAGATGCAGAAGGGACCCTGGCTATATTTTTAAAGCACATGATACTGTAATTTTAATTTACATAGCAGTCAACTTATGTGAACTTATTCTAAAATTTATTAATTTAGACTTATGTTTCTAGTCTGAAATCTTTAAAGTGTAGTGTCTACATGCTCTGAAAAATTCTATCAGATGTCCATTGACACCAGTACAAGTCTATACACCTTTAAAATCTGTCCCTAGAGTAATTTAACTCTCAAATTACCAGAATATTTTATTAGGTAGCTTTGCTCTTGCAGCTGTTGGAGGGGAAAAGAGGATAATCCTTTTATGCTGCAACTTCATAAAAGAAACTTATTGCATAGACAAATTAAAAAGTTAACATAAATGTCACAATGGAGCATATCAGTTTATAACATATTTAAATAAGACTCATTTTATCCTTATAAAGCTAATAAAATATACTAGTTAGGTAATATATTAATGAATTAGTATATTTATGTTAATTCATCTAGTAGCATAATTAATTCCAAAAGGCTGGTTAACAGCAACAATCAGAACGTGCACTACTTGCGAGAGACAGCATGCTCCTAAACCTGAAGATTAAACAGCTCTGATTACTCAGCTAGAAAGCTTGTTATGGAAAGCATCAGTGTGTACCTTACCTATATTTTACCACTTAATGGCTCAACCCTGCCATGGCAGGACTAGCCAAAAACAGTGAGAGGATACCTTAGTTAAAAAAAACTATGCACACTTTAACTGAGTGGTTTATCTAAGAAGATGAACAATTTTGAGGATGTAAATCTGAGGTGGTAGTGGTTTTCATATTTTACCATAAAAACTACATTATAAACAACATCTTCCCTTTCTGGGAAACACTCACAGACACAATTAGCAAATGCAAAATTCTCCCATCCAGACATAAGTTTTCATGTAATTACTTACAGTACTTAATGTACTGCTTCCAGATCAGTTGCAAGGAAATACCATCGAATGGTACTTGCAAACATAAAAGTTAAATCCAAACCACTATGTCAGTTTACATCCACAAACGGGAAATGTTTTTTAGAATATTGAGGCACATACGTTAAAAACAAGCAAGATACGTTTGTTTAGCTTGTAATCATTAAAATTAGCATGATTCCAGCTTCCAGTGTGAATACCGATACTAGAGACAGCGGAGTGTTTTTGGAGGCAGTAAGTACTAAGATCCTATTGAAACCAATGCTAAAATGGATTTCAATGGGAGTGAAGTTGGGCTAGGACTTATAGCTCTTGAAAACTGCACTGAATCTGTTTTAAAATATAAACTAGGATTTATCAGTTGTAATAGTCTAAGGCGGGGTAGTCGGCCTCTGGCCTG